CCCGCCCCGCCGCCCCCCCCCGGGCCCCGCTCTCCCTCACCCGACACGGAGGTTACAAAAACAATACGTGAAACCGCGGAATTAGTTGTAAAAACGGACAGGGAAGGGGGTCGCATGCACTAAGGACTAACACCGAGGGGGCGCCGGGAGGGCCGCAGGGAAACCGAAACCGTTAAGCAGCTTATCGGAGCCTCGATGGGGAGAAACGCCCGCCCGACCCTCCGCCGCCACCGGACACACGGCCTTAAAACAGCATTTACAGACACCTTCCTGCTGCCGCCGCCGCCGCCCGGAACCGTTAGGAGCAAGCCGTCTTTAATTAAAGATACCTGCCTCGCCGAGCTAACGAGCAGCGGCCAGGCTCTCGCCCAGCTCTGTGGGCGGTGAGGGCTTTACTCACACAACTCTCACAAAATACCGATCCTCGGGGTCTCGACTGTGGCTGGCACAGCAAGGCGGCCTTCCTCCCCTAGTGTAAAATAAACCTAGTTACAAATAAGCTAGTTACAATATGCAAATTCCTCCCACACGTGTTAGGACACAGCTGGTGCCTCAGTCCCAGGAGAAGCAGTGTGCACCAACACAGGCGACTTCTTTCCTCGCCTTGCCCCTGGATTTCACTCCATCCCGAGTCACCTCTGCTACTCGGCCACCTTCTGCCTGACTGGCCTTTTAAAAAACATACACTAACGCTTTTTTTTTTTTTTTTTTCACAAGTCAGAAAACTCCACAGAGGAAGCTCTGACTCCAGAGTGCACAGTAAATAGGCAGGCTAGCTGTGGCTGTACTCCTCTACAGAAGAAATCAGTCCAGATTTTCCACTGTTGTGTTTACACCCGCTATCTGATCTGCTAAGGTACTAAAACCAGACTTGAGCCCATCTTAGAAATGTGCTCCAGCCAATTTGATCATCCTCACAAAGATGAACAGCTTTCGAAATACGCAGATCAGGGCCAAATTTTGTCTGTCTTGACTCAGCTGGAATCGTGAAGCAACTCTCAAATGCTGGAGACATAAAAATGAGGTGGCTAAGCGCTAAAAGGAAAAAAACCCACACTTCTGAATTTCTTTTAACAGATATAAACAGAAGGAAAAATTAATTAAGTGAGAACCAGCGCTACTGGTGTGCTCACAAAGGGTCAGGTAGATCTTTTGGAAAGGGCTGAAGCATTACAAACATCACAGCAGCTCAGGTCTCCGACCACAGCGCTGCCCCTGACTGCCGTGTTCGCTGGGTCAGGACAAACACAGCGTGTCAGCCATTGGCCTGAATTGAAAACGATCCGTCCAGATTTATTTATTCCTACTAAAACAAAATCCTGTTAAACAGTACGTAACTCTGTGTCTCTACAAACTCACAGCTATCTGCCAAACAATAAAAATTCCAAACTACAAAAGATGAGTTGTATTCAGTAAATATAAATGGGAAATTTAGGCTTTGTGTAGAATGTTTATCAGACTATTTACAGTGCAACACAGATCGTTTGAGTTCAGATCTCGCCAGCTTCTCTCTCTTCTGATCTCTTGGAACGAGATTTGCCATTTGTGCTCTCGTGCCGTCTCTCAGAAGAGCTCTTCTCTTTTCTCTCTCTGTCTCGTGACTTTTCTCTTGAAGATCGATCTCTAGAAGATCTGAAGTACAAAGTAAACCATCGCTATAAGCTTCACAACTAAAAGAATTTTCAAATATGCACAAAACGACAACATCTTTCCCTAACAGGGCTGTGGCGTAACACAAGTTTCTTACAGAAATGTGCCTAGGTACTGCGACGTTGGGAGTGGCGTCCTCAAGACAGCAACTCTGGGCCCTCTCCGAGCTTTATGTATGAGAACACCAGTTTTGCAGCACCAAGTGCACAGCGCAGCCTTTGTTACTCTCTCCTTGGAGCGATCCTTTCAACCTGTTACCACAGAGGCTCTCTGAGGTCTTCCCTGGGCCCCTTATTAGTTTACCGGGCCATACTGAAGTGCCTGCAATTTCTTTCTCGTCTATCACTCAGCTCTGTTGTGTCTTCTAGACTAATTTTTCATTATGCTCTAAGTTAGTGACTTTCTGCTCAACTGCTTTAAATACCAACTGTATTCTTTGGACTCAAATGCTCGCTCAGCCCTGGGCTTTTTCCTTTGCATCCTGACAAGCGCTGTCCTTGGCAGCATCCTGGGTTCAAAGTCAGGATGATACAGATTTATATTCTCAGCCCACAACACAGGCGAATCTTTTCACAGCCTGCCCAAATGACAGCTACAGATTTTCAGCACTGCTTCACTCTATCAGCCCACACAGAATTAAGCAAAAGGCTTCATGTTAGGTCCAATCTGAAAAGGCTGTTTTCCTGTATGATTCATGCCAGCTTATCGACTGGCAGCCTTCAAAAGGTGCTGATCCTGAATGAGCTCTAGCGGCCCACACCCCTTTAGAACTAGGCAGAGGCTTTCACAGACCCTGCAGAGCCAGCACATTTTACTCTAGGACTCAGTACGCAGGTTTGTCTTTACAGTCACAATGAAAGGACCTGGCAGGTACCTTAGAGGTTCCAGCTTTCATTTGTGTCAATTGTAAGCTCTGGAAATACTGCACAATTGATGCATTAAAACCTTACAGCCTCTGTATCATGAGCCATTTAATTTTCATTAAATTGTGTCATTTAACCAGATGATAACAAGAGTCTGTCTGATGAGATTAACCCTCTCCCTGTTCCCACAACAATGCTTCCTGCCCATAGTCCTCCTACCCCAAGACCTCCAGATCTTGTGGCAGGCTCTCCATTTCTTTATACAAGTGACACCTCAGACCAGCAGAACCTCAATGCAGGTTTCATTAATTCTCAAGGTGAAAACAGAAGCTACACTCTTTCAGGGAACAGGGGTTTTCTGTTTGTTCTCTTGGTTTTGTTTTATTTTCTTAAGCTGATCCTGGTTTCTCCCCAGTTCTCAGTAATTTTGCGCAAGTATGTCAGCTAGCCAATCCCCCTACAATCTCGATTGGCTAATTTGAATGTGTTCAAGGTTTTCGAAGTAATCCCTTACCTGCTCTTTAGTAATAGTTATTACAGGGTCTTCCTCACTTCCTAATTGTCCAAACTTCTTTTCTTTATTTTTCATGTTCAAGACAGATTTAAAAAAGGACTTTAGTATCTCAGCCATTGGAGAATCAACAGTATTTACACACCCCCCTCAATTATTAACAGACTTATTTTTTCAGACCATTATTTCCCTCCCCTTCATCAGGAATCTTTAAAACCTGTTCTTACCCCTTAGCTAAAGGGACACAAGACACACAATGGTAGATTTGTTTCTAGAATTGTACTCAAGTGGTGGTGCCTAATTGGGTAAGACAGTGCTAAAGCACTCCCCTATTAATTAGGAGCATTTAAAAAAAGCCAGATCTAACTTCTGCAAGCACCTGGCGATAGACTTGCTCCTGGGCTTAAAAGTGCTGTAAGGAAACACAATGATTCCTTTCAATTTTTCTAATACTCCTACATATGCTTGCCTTATCCTTCCTCCAATACAGTGTTTTGCTGAGTTTCAGAAGAG